GTTTTAGGTTTACCCTTAAAAACACATATAGGATGCTAAAAAAAAAAAAAAAAAAAAAAGCTTCTCATTGTAAATGAAGTACATTTGAACTTAGCAAAGCCTACAAGCATAGTTCTGAGAAGATTAAAGAATTTGATACTTTAAGAGGTGACTGACCATTAACTTTCATGTCTTAATTATCTTTAACAATTCATGATAAGTTAGCTTTTATAAGATTAGGAATTTACAGCTTTATCTCTGTTAGGTTTGAACATTAAAAAATGACAACTTATGGATTGAAGCTCTTTTAGCATCAAAATAAAACTTTAAATCACAAATACAGTACATAGGGAGACTGGAAACTTCATTTTCTTGGTTATTTTATAGTACACCATTAGAGAATATCACAGTTTCTTGTATAACTCAGTTTACCAAAATAACTAAAGCTTAACAAAGTTATTAAAGACAAAGAGGTTAGACATACAGTTCAATCAGTTTCTGTTAGTCTGAAGAGACCTTAGGCAAGGAGAGACATCTGTAGGTTCTTTGCCAGACTGCTTAGGTCATCTTGCTGCATCATTAGATTTGGTTCTCATACCTGTGACCCTAACTCTTTAGTCTTTCTCTCTCTCTCTCTCTCTTTCTTTCTTTCTCTCTCTTTCTTTCTTTCTCTATTCATTTAAGATTATGTATTAATAGAGATGTCATAATATAAAATGTTTTACAATCTTAAAATGTCCCATGCCTTATAAATTTAAATATTTAGAAAGTTGTTCCTTAAATAAAAAAATCCAGTTGTTTGTAATTTAAATTGCCTGTAAAACTGCAAAGTTTCCTTTTAAAGAAGTTTAAAAACCCTCAACTCTGGGATCCTGCAATATTAAAAATAAAGTGCCCTTTTTGACTTTAAGATTCACTCACAGTCCTCTAGGCTTCCCCAAGGGGCTCGGGTCACCTCTGGCCCCACCCTCGGCAGCACACACAGCTTGTCTCCTCGGCCCCAACCTGCTCCATTTCATTGCAGTTATTGTTCCTGGTGGCTATCACATGGCACTGGCATCTCCAAACCTGCTGGGTCCCCATTGCAACTGGGCTGCATTTTCACCAATAGCCTGTCCTGGGCTCGATAGGAATTCCAGTCCTGCCATACAGTGCCAAGTCTCAGGTGCTTTCCATGACCCCTTCATGCCTTTAAAACCAATACCACCAGGGTGCCTCTTACATTACAAATTTATACTGCCAGCACATTCTTATATATAAATGTATGGAGATATAGCTTCAATACTTATTAGACAAGCATTGCCTTTAAATCCTTTCTTTTATAAACCTTGATTTTATGAATTTATTTTCAGGACAAGAACTATCATACAAAAATCTATCCTAATCCAAAATATCTTGGAGACCTGTTTTTGCCTCCTTGGTTGGTTTATACCATGTGGTCAACTTTAATCAAAACAGTGGTAAAGTCACATGGCATCCACCCTCTCCAACCCTAGCAAAGATGGCTGCCAGTCATGTGCCTGCCTCCATCCAGATGGGGGAGGAGCTTAGATGAAGCCAAGTCACATGTTGTGTTATGTAAGCCATTTCTCGAAACCCCCAGAGACCACCAAGGAGCCCGTTTCCAATGCAAGCACATAAGTGTCCTTTTATTGTCAGGTCCAAACCTGGGCCAACACATGGCAGATGGAGGGAAATGCAGCAGCAGCGGTGGGCACAGGGGTAGAGAGTTTTTATAGGGAAAAACCACAAGCTGGGAATTACGTGCTTTGGTAATTTGGGATTGGGTAGAAGGGATATCGGACAAGGTGATTTTTTGAGACTTTGGTCTAGACTTTCGGTGCAAAACCACATTTGACACTATTGAGTTGGACTTTTTGGCAGGGAACCACAACTTGCTGAACAGGATTATCTGGACTGCTTAGCAGGATTATCTGGATATCTTCAAGGGCCATAAACCACAGACAGAATGTCTACAGGATGGTCCAAGATGATGGCCCTCTCCTAAGATGGAGTCTATATTACCTTCACAGTTGCTTATATCCCAAGATGTTGTCATGCCACATGGTTCCTTTAAGATTACTTATGTATAGATTTTTTTCAATCCCCTGTGTTACAAATTTTAAGTTATCATTTTTGTTACACATTTTTAACCATACCCAAAAAACTTACAAATCTTGAGGTATAAGAAGTTCACATAAGCCGGGCGATGGTGGCGCATGCCTTTAATCCCAGCACTCGGGAGGCAGAGGCAGGCGGATCTCTGTGAGTTCGAGGCCAGCCTGGGCTACCAAGTGAGTTCCAGGAAAGGCGCAAAGCTACACAGAGAAACCCTGTCTCGAAAAAAAACCAAAAAAAAAAAAAAAAAAAAAAAAAGAAGTTCACATAATAGTCTTACAAATCTTGAGATAAGGTTTATATCTTAGCGAAAGTTCTAGGCAGTTAGATGAAACCTATAATCACATTTTTAAAGGCTGTTTTGTTTTCCTTTGCTCTCCTATCCCCGTCAGAGAGTCATGTGGCTCGGCTGACATAGGACAGAGAGGAGACTTTTAAATAAGCATGCTTGGGTCTAGAGGAGGGAGAGCCCTATAACCCAACTCCAGAGCCAGCTTTTCAATAAAATAGAACAGCATTAAACAACTTTAATATTATCTACACCCAAAAGACATTTGAATCCCTGTTAAACCGAATCCAGTGACCAGAAAGCCCAGAGATAAATTATGAGCCCTGGCCGTCACAGCAGCCATAACAAGCAGCGTTATGTGGTGGTGCACAGCAGCAGAGACAGCAAAACAAAACCTGTAATCACAGAACACAGAAAGCTCACATGCTTGAAGGAGACCAGTCAGAAACAAACGTGTGGTGGCCACCGTTCACACATTCAGCTGAGCCTGACCCAGTTCCATCTCAGCTCCCTTGTTTGCCACAAAACTATGGACACTCAAAAAAACAGACTCATCCACACTCACAGAACAGACAAAACTTTCCAAATAACCAGAACCAGGCAGACGGGCAGGTGATATCTCGCTTTTTGCCCTGAATGGGAGAGTACTGGGTCCCATCAAACCCTCCACGTCCCAGAGGATCCCAACTGTGGTGATATTGTGTTCCCCAAAATATTGTGTGACCCTAATAAACTTATCTGGGGTCAGAGACAGAACAGTCACTAGATATAGAAGCCAGAAATGGTGGCACACATGCCTTTATTCCTATCACTTGGGAGGCAGAGATCCATCTGGATCTCTGTGAGTTTAAAGCCACACTGGAAACAGCCAGGAATGGTGACTCATGCCTTTAATCCCAGGAAGTGATGGCAGAAAGCAGAAAGGTATTTAAGACATGAGGACCAGGAACTAGAGCTGGTTAAGCTTCAGACCTTTGAGCAGCACATTTCAGCTGAGATTCATTCTGGATGAGGACTCAGAAGCTTTCAGTCTGAGGACACAGAATCAGCTGAGGAATTGGCGATGTAAGGAAGCTGTGGCATATTCCGCTTCTCTGATTTTCCAGCATTTACCCCAATAACTGGTCTCAGGTTTGATTTAATTAATAAGACCTTTTAAGATTCCTGCTACACCCAACAGACCAGAAAATTACAACAACGTGCCAGGGAAGGCCTCTGTAGATGCCTGCTGATTTTCTCAGCACAGCAGTATGTGGTGGTGGACAGCAGCAAAGACTGAGAAACTGAAAACAAGGCTCAGAGCCTTGGAACATCTCGAGGTGTTCACCTTCTGAGGCAGCCCTTCAGCCCCAGAGCACCAGAGTGAAGGTCCAGCTTCAGAATTTCAGTAGGTGCTCTGATCTCATTAGGCCTTCAGAAGTGTTAATCCCGCTGGGTGAGAATAAGACCACTACCACAAATTTTGAGCCAAATTTGAAGCCAACTTTATTAAATACTGTCCAGGATGGACACTGGCCAGGTCCATATCCCGGATTCCCAGAGAATGGCCCAAACTACATTTGTCAGAGGCTTATGAAGGCAAAACCCAGAAGGCTACATACTTCCCTCCTTCGTTCAATTCAGGGCAAGCATACACCCTGACATGCTTCCTGCCTATGTACCTCCTGCCTGTGAATGATCAAGCGCATCCTGCGCAGTTGGGGCAACCAAGCTTGTTTACAGAAGTGAAAACATGTGGCTTGCTTGTTATCTCACATGAACAGCAGCCCCCAGCATTCCAGGAAGTTACCTGTTCTTGGGCAAGTGGGGCTCACAGGTTAGATGCGTTTTTTTGTCTTATTGGTCTCTTAGGCACAATAATTTAAACTTAAAAAGTTCCTGTAGCCATCACACTTTTCTTCTCTTTCTGTGGGGCAATATGTCCAGTCCCGTGCTGATTTGCTCCGTCTTGGACTTTTCCTTTAATACAGATTACTTGCAGCAATGAATGCTTTGTCTCATTTTCAAATTCCTGGTTAATATGAACATTCATTTGAGCAGCTCTGTCTCTTGGGTGTGTGGATTCTCTAGGATAGATGACCTCTAAAGCTCTTCCCCAGAACCCACATTCAAGGATCCTTTGTTAGGATTTGAAGACAAACCTGAAGATGCCTACAAGTAACTGGGAAGATTACGTACAGCCTGTGGCAGAGTGCCAGGTAGGTGGAAAGGTACTCATCTTTTATCTTGCAAATTGAATACAGAAATAACTGCAAGAGAATAGGTAAGACTTCCCACACAGTCGCTTTCTTTCTTTCTTCTTTTTTTTTTAACTAAAGACACTTGTAACCATGACTTCACTGCTGAACTGACATCACCCTGGTTCCTCTGACAGACTTTGTCACATAAAGCGGTAGGATGGGCTTCAGCTGGAGTGTGGTGCGAGCAGGGGCACAAATCCATCATCAACACTGTGCCTGTTTGAGCTTCTCGGCTGTACTTCTCTCACAGACTACCGCAAACCTGTTAGAGAAATGCTGGTCAGTTTGGAGCACACAGAAGAAATGTTGGGCAAAGTGAATTCTAGCCAAAGAAGGTGGAGTCAACCATCTCAGTAAATGGCGGACCGGTGAGTCTCGTCTTGTTAATTTATACAAATAATGTTTTCACCACATGAAAACTGCTTAAGATCCTCTGTGACTCAAAAGATTGTATTGCTTTTTAGCAATGAAAGCTTTGGTATACAGCTCCTGATTTGTCCATAGCTCTTATTTTTCCCTCCAGGACTTCAAAGTCCTTTCACCTAAGAAGGGAAGATAGATACACATGAGTCAACTTGACCAAAGAAAGGGCAGAATATTAAAATAGCCATTGAATGCAGTGAAGGTGCTAATGATGAGTGACTTGGCCAAAGTATGCTTACCTAGGGCCCTAGAACTGTGGCAGGAGTCCCCTAATCACTGCTTCATATACAGTCCATGGAGCATAGTCATGTCCCTGTATGGTTTACTGTTTAGGTGTCTTGATCTGGTTCATTTATCTGCCAGTTAAAGAATTAAAAGGCAGGAAAAACCTCAGACACAGCAGGAAGCAACAAACTTTATTACAGCTAAAGACACACACACACACACACACACACACACACACACACACACACACACACACACACACACACACACCGGGGAGGGAGGGTGGAGGGGAGAGAGAGACAGAGACAGAGACAGAACAAAGTACATCAAGAGAAAAGGAAAGACTCACCAAAGCAGAGAAGGGAGTGAAATCCAGCGGGAGGGCCTGGTTTTGGTGGTATAGGGCAGATTCTCCTCCTATGATTTGGGGTTGGTCAATAGCTGACCAGCCCACAGCTCACATAAATATGTTTAGAATGGACCTTGAACACATCTGGCCATCCTGCACCAGTCAGCCAGAAGGGGATCCCTGCTGGTGGGTGAAAACTGGGAGAATTATGCAGAAGAAGATGGAGGTGTACCATCTTTGTTATCTCTGGTTCCTTTCCCGTCTGTCTGTCTGTCAGGGATCTGTCTCCAAGTCCCTCAGTGGTGTCTAAGGACTTAATGAAACCCAAGTGACCAGGGATGCATGCGGAGTTGTAAGCCAGAGCTCTGCCCAGCAGATTCAGAATGGTGCCTCTAGGTCAGATTGGAGATTCGCCCACAACCCTTAGCCTGACTAGAACAAAAAGAAAAGATTTCACACCAGCCGAGCCTTTTCCTTTTCTAATATGTAGAAACGAAATAATGACCCTTGCTGCCAGGCTGTGGGAAGACTGGCCCAGCCCACCTTTCTCGAAAACCCATGATCTGCTTTTCAAGGGGAGATGAAAGTGCCAGGGAGAGACAATGGATCTGAAACACCGGCTGACTTCTGCATATTCATGACTATTTTAATGCAAATGAACATTTCAAATTGATCTGCTTTTGCCCAGGTGCTGTTGGAAGTGTGTTAAGCTTATAAAATTGCTTCTCTGTTCTTCAGATCCCCAAGAACAACTTCCTCCACTTATTTACAATTCTCTTAGAAGGTTTCCCAGGTGTTCACCTTGGGCTGAAGCTCCGGCCACAAGGGCTGCAATTCAGGCTAGCCCACAGGAAAGCCTGTACTAGTTAATTGGAGCCCAGGTCTGAGAGGCCCTCCTTTTTCTGCCCGGGCCAGAGAGGCTTATCACAGATCAGATTGCCCTTCCTTTGAGGTAAGTTCAAACGAAAGCTCACTGTTCCCTGAAGAACAGAGGGAGCAGAAGATTCCACCAGGGTTTAGGAGTACTTGTCCCAGCTCTCTGGCTCAGAAAATAAGGCAGGCTGTTTGGACTGGCCTGACTCTTGCACCTCAGGGCTCCAACCTATAAATGGCCTTGGCCTGTGGCCTGAGGCTTTGCCAGATAAAAAGACGTTGCAAGACACACAATCCCCTGGGCTGATGGGGATATTAGAGACCTTCAGAGAGGTGGTGAGTCTTCAGTCTCCGAGTGTGCTGATGGTGGAGGCTTTCCCTTCTCAGCAGGATTTGTGGTGAGGGTTCCTAGTCAATCCTGGGAAGAGGAGGGGACAGGGATGAGAAAGGAAAGTCACTGTGACACCAAGGACCTTTTTGGAGGAAGAGGACAGACACTGGTCCTGACCCTGGTCAGTAAAGTAAGCTTCCACAGTGTTCACGGTCTCCCAGCAGGTGGGAAGCCCCTTGGGGTCCATTGGAGAGGAAAATGCTGTCTCTAGGCTTTCATTGCCCAGGATCCTTGTACCATCTGAAGACCACTCCCAAAGGGTCATGGGCACGGTCTGATTTCATTCCTTGATTAGCTCTTGAGATACATTCTTTTCTAAAATTTAATTAATTAATTTTTTTACATCCCAACCCCAGCCTCCCCTGCCTCTCCCCACCCGCATACTACCTGCCACCCACCCACCCCCATTCACCCAAAAAGGAACAGAACTCCCATGGACATCAGCAAAGCATGACATATCAAGCTGCCATGAAGACCAAGCCTCTCCCCCTGTATTCAGACTGGGCAAGGCAATCCAGCATGAGGAATAGGTTCCCAAGAGCCACCCAACACACCAGGGACAGCCTTGCTCCCATTGCCAGGAGTCTCACAAACAGACCAAGCTACACAACTGTCACACATATGCAGAGGGCCTAGGTTAGTCCCGTGCAGGTTCCCTGGTTGTTGGTTCAGACTGAGTTCCCATAAACCACGCTAGCTGTTTCTGTGGGTTTTCCTGAGGTGTCCCTGACACCCCACCTCCTACAATCCCTCCTCCCTCTCCTCAGCAGGACTCCTTGAGCTCAGCCCAATGTTTGGCCTGCCATGGGTCTCTGAATCTGCCTCCATCAGTCACGGGGTGAAGGCTCTCTGATGAGAACCAAGGTAGTCACCAGTCCGATCACAGAGAATGGCTAGTTGAGACTACACATCCACTGCTGCCTGGAGTCTTAGCTAGGAGATGTTTGTGGTCTTCATGGGAGTTTCTCTTGCATGATCCCATAAAGCCCCAATTTCCAATCATCTCAGCATTCTCCCCCTCCACCTACCCCCCAACCTGATTCCTCAAGTTCCCATGCCCACCCACCCTCAGCCCATCCAGGAAATCTCTATTTCCCCTTTCCAGGGCGATCCATGTGTCCCTGCTTGGGCCCTCCTTGTCACCTAGCCTCTCTGGGTCTTCTTGGTTGTAGCCTGGTTATCCTTTACTTTACAGTTAACATCCACTTATGAGTGAGTACATACGATGTTTGTCTTTCTGGGTCTGGGTTACCTCACTCAGGATGATTTTTTTCTAGTTCCATCCATTTGCCTTCAAATTTCCTGATGTCATTTTTAACAGCTGAGTAATACTCCATTGGGTAAATGTACCACATTTTCTTTATCCATTCTTCAGCTGAGGGACATCTAGGTTGTTTCTAGGTTCTGGCTATTACAAATAAAGCTACTATGAACATAGTTGAGCAGGGGTCCTATGGTATGATTGAGCATTCTTTGGTTATATACCCAAGAGTGGTGTCCCTGGGTCTTGAGGTAGATTGATTTTCTGAGAAACCATCATATTGATTTCCAAAATGGCTGTGCAAGTTTACACTCTCACCAGCAATGGAAGAGTATTCTCCTTGCTCTTGAAATGTATTCTTACTTCCTAGGCTTCTCCTCTCCAGCAGAACGTTCCCCCGTCAAATACTCTATGGGAAAGACACTCCTCTCTATGACTGACATGCATTTATTCAATGAGCATTTACCAATGTTCTCAGCAGGTGACTCTGGTCCAGTCCCTGTTCGACACTTCTTGGTCTGTGGATTCAAACTACCCTCTATCCACAGTCTGTCTCCCTACTCCATGGTCACTGTCACTGCCACAACTTTCTCTTGTGGTGACCTTACCTCCAGTCCCTCTCCTCTGGGCTCCATAAAAGATTTCTCCCTTCCTCTCGGCCCCCTGGTTTCCCCTTTTCTCCCATGCATATCTGTTTGTTTAATTTCTCCTGGGGTTGTTAACACCTGGCTTTATCTGTGATAGTTTGGAGGTTGTGAACTAGTTTGACTTTAAGAAGCACATCGATTCGTGAGTGCTGGAGCTATATTGTAGTTTCTGACATCTTTTCTCTGTGTTCCATTTCCGGGGGTATGTAGTATTGGCTGAGGCCCAGTGGTATCAGACAGACTTTGATGAGGATGGTACTCTGGTCCTGGCAGCCACTGAAGGAGGTGGGAGGGGCCTGTCCATAGCCTGAGCTTCTGGTCAAACTGAGCAGCTCTGACCCTGAATATAAGCACAGAAGCCAGAAACTCATAGCTCTGTGGATATTTATATACAGAGTGAACTCTATTTATTTGCTTTTCCAAGGAAGTTTCTCTTCAGTAACTTTTAAAAGACTATATATCATGAGAAGAAAGGATGACTTTGTTTTCCTCACCCATAAAATATTTACCTACAAGGTATTGGAAGGATTAAATTATGTTGTGCATAGAAAATATGTGGTGGTTTGAATTACAATGGCTCCCATGTAATTTGAATTTTGGTTCTCAATTGGTGAAACTGTTTGGGAAGGATTAGGAGGTGTGGCCTTTTGGGGGGGGGTCACTGGGGCCAACTTTGAAGATTCAAAAGACTCTACTCTCTGCCTCCAGCTTATACATCCAGATGTGAGCTCCCAGGTGTCCCTGCTTCCATCATGGATTCTAACACTTGGGAACTTTAAACTCAATTAAACTCTTTATTTCACTGGATGCCTTGGACGCTATGTTTTGTCACAGCAATAGAATGGTAGCTAAGCCACCCAGAGCCTAGCAATAATAGATCTTCGGTTATGAGTTAGAGTTACTATTCTTGCTAATGTTGTCCCATTAAATCAGTGTTTCTCAAACTTAATAATTAGATTATTGGCAGGCTACATAATTTTGGTAGTGAATTAATTGATTTTTTAAAATTATGTGTGTTAGGACAAATACTGGATTTGTGATTTTGTGGATATCATTTTTATTTTGTTGTTTATTGCTAGATAGCAAACCACCTGAACTTTTCATAAATTATTATGGTCTAGTCTTAATAATCTTCTTCCCGGGGGCCCAGAAGAGAAGCTACGAATGGCATGAATTATTTTCGGGAAAAGAATCTCAGTACACCGAGCTCTTAGTCCGTCCACTTTATTCCTCTGGGATAAAATCCTATCTACACAGCTACAGTTCTGTTTTCATGCCTAGCTCCTTTCTTGCCTGATTTCTCTCTACATTTATCTGCTGTCTCCTCTAAGTTCTGTCTTAATTATCTCATCTTAGTTCTGCCCCATCTTGGTCTTTCTCATCTCATTCTCCCCATCTGGCTCTTCCTCATCTTCCATCTCATTCTTCTAGTTCTCCAGTCAAAATCCTCTCTCTGTCTCTGAGGTTTACAGTTATATACCCATGCAATAGCAGTGCTCTAGCTAAAGCAAGGTCACCAGGCTTGAATTCTTACAGGGTCATAAAGGCAGACACGAGTTTTTCTCAGGCAGTGACCATCAGGCTTTCCTTTACAACCCAAAAGGGGAGTGGTAAAGGAGGAGGTCAACTGAGAGCTAAAATCGGTTAATATATCAGAAAAAGGGAATTTATATGCTAAAACTACATTCCTAGAGATGGTTAGGTAAATGTTAGGAGTCTATAATGTCAGTATAAATATCACTAAGGCTATATAAGAAAGGAGAGTCTGAGCTTAATTTGCCTCAATTCAGGAGATCGCTTGGCCTTGGATGCTTGATAGGTATTTCAGATAAAATACACTGTTGAGTTCTTGGAAGCATACATGGCATACAAGGAAATCATTGCAGGAATCAGTAACATATATACAAAAGCTAAAATATCACCAAGACTTCTTAAGCCATGGCTTGACCTTCAGAAAAGTCTTTGACCTTTCCAAGTAGAGGCTTTTGTGAGAATAGCTGAATTCCACTACATTTTCCTGTGGCTTGCAACATTAAATTAGTGAATTATCTGGTGATGACGTGTCGTTTCTTTTGGTTTTGATATGAGCTGGGCCTCGCAGTGTGGATCTGCTCTTCGACCCTCCCAGGTCTCAAGCTTCTGAGCTTAGCTGACTAGGACAGCCAGGCTTCCTGGGCATTCACATGGTGGCCAAGGGCTCCAAAAACAAGTGTTCCAAGGAGAGATTTCACTGTGCAGCTGTTCGTCAAGGCTCTGCCTGCAACACACAGTTGCTGCTGGGTTTCGGTTTCTCCTCTCCAAAGGGAGTTTGTCGTCTCATGATTGCTAAGGATGATAAGCAATGGCAATACAAAAAAGAGAAGCAAGCGAAGTTCACTGGGAAATAAAGAAACAGCTCCTTGTAGCCAGAGGGAAACTTGAAGATGAGTTACCAAGCAGCATGCTGAAGCAGAGTTTTTATATCTTGGGAATGAGCCAGTTTG